TGTTTGTTTGTTTGTTTGTTTGTTTGTTTGTTTGTTTGTTCAGGGTACGGGTTATTAAGCATCGTTGTATTTTTTTTAAATGAAGAAAGATGATGAATTTTGTCATCGTTGAAATTATCTTATGTAAGAAATAGCAAGCAACCCTTTTCTTGATAACATAGCCTGATGCCGGTAACTCTTGAGAGAGTTTGGGAGAATTTGACAGTAATCAGGTACATCCTGGTCTGAGGTCGGGTGAGGGTTTTCATAAACAAGGTTTTTAAATTCTCCTAAACTCTTCGAGTCTTCGAGAACAGAAGGATGTAAAACGTTCTTATGCTGCCTCCACAGTACACCGGAAAAATTTGAAAACGCAGCTTTATTTCTACGGTTAGGTCTTCCGTCCACATTAATTCGTCACGAAAACGGAGCTTTTCGAAAACGCGCTTCAAACCAGAGAAATTGGGTAACGCCGGCTTTACGTTTTTGTGTGGACGGAAAACATTTTGAAAACGGAGCTTTTCGACGTGACGACGGCGTCACAATAATCATGTAATTTTCCTGACCGAGTTTTCCTCAAGCTCAAATCCAAAATGACCGAAGATTGTTGCATTTTCAGATTTCTCCGGCCTAGTGTAGACGGAAAACATTTGAGGCGTTTTCAGAGAAAAAACGCCGTTTTCAAATTTCTCCCGCATAGCGTGAACGAAGCCTTAGTGGTTTGTGTCAGACAGTTACCGCAGTTTGGAAGGTGGAATGTAGCGCTGTGAGGAAACGATAACCGGATGCTAAAGCTGCCACTCTCTTCTCGGTGAAGACGTTTTTCACATCACCATTCTTAACCGTCTTTTTCTTCTCAATAGCCTTAACGGCGAAAAGCTGGTCACTGCCCTTCTTTTCTGCCAACATGACCTAGTAAAAAAAATAAAATACCAAATTTATAATTTCAACTGTAATCTTGACATAACAAAGATCACCAGTGCAACTACTTCATCTTTTCTACATAATTTATCATATCTTATTTCATAATGATAGTTTTCAAAAGCTATACTCCGACTTTTAGAGACAGTTCTCTATACGGTTTTCAGGGTTAAACTCTCACCTTCCCAAAACCACCTTTTCCCAGTACTTTGAGAAACGTGAAATCGGCAAGGGAATATTTCCTCTCTGGAATCTTGGCTTCAGAAGTAATTTCCAGCTTATCAAGCGGGCTGTTATCTCGGTCATTCTCCTAGATAAAGAGAAAAGTAAGTTAACTACGATACGATACTTAATTTAACGTGGGGTTTACGCTTAGTTAACAACAGGAAGAAAAATTAAAGGTATTGAAAATTATGTGGGAGCCTCGCGCTCAAATCCACCCCAATCACTACTATTCTTGGCCTGACGTGTTTGGTTATTATAACTTCTTATCTTAAAAGTCCTTTAGTTATATCATAGTTAATAGAGGGGAATGGTTGTGAAACCCGACAAAGTTCTTTGTTGTATGTTTTTGTTCGCTTTTTTGGCCTTGACGGTGCACAAAACAGAATAGTTGTTCACTTCGCACTGAGGAATGAACCAATAGAAACGTGTTGGTTACGTAATTCATGCATAGTGTATTAGCGCAAAACAAACGATTGTGCTCCGTCGTGGACCTTCCAACATAAATCTTGGCGTCTTTGTTTGCTCCTTTGATGTTTGCCGGGCTTCATAACCAGTTCGCTCTATTAGCTATGGTTATATGAAGGCTTAAGTTTCCAGGGGCGGGGTACTCCCGTAAAATTCGGACAGGTGTGTGCCGCTCAAGTGAGCATGATATCGTAGTCATATCAGGTCAGTCGCTTGATATCGCAGATTATAAAATAACTGAGCTACTACGCGCACTCATTGGTCGATAGGTGTGCTTACATGAGAGTATGTAAACACGGTTGTGACATTTTAGCTTCGCGCGTATTTTTGAGAATTATTTTATGAAAGCAGTAGAACACTTTTTCGGTGTTTACATAGCCTCATCTAAACACTCGGGGATTGGGAGAATTCTCGAAAGTTTCGAATTCTCCGAACCACGTGTTTAGATGAGGCTATGTAAACATGGAAAACGTGTTCTATTGCTTAATAGCAGGACAGTAGACAGGGCTTCTGATTGGCTAATTAGAACTCAAGTTCGACTTTGGTCAGCTGCCAGGTTTTACCAGCAAAAACTTCATATTTCATCTTGAGCCTAGAAGTAAAGGGGAGACAGCGTTCTCTAAATAGCAATGGTCATCTACCTGGTCTTCTTCATTTACGACATTCTCTTGCGGTACTTCAATACTGAAATAAAACGAAGAATTCAATCAGTTGCTATGGTAATCATCAGAGATATTTCTTTTGCCGGGACCTTTTTTCTTTCCTGAAAAACCGTAAGATTTTACTCCTTTGTTTTACGTTGTCGTCGCTGTTGTTAACGTTTTTCAAACGAGAAGTTGCTACATTTTTTGCGCCGGACAAAAGAGTATTACTGTAGTTTCCGAAACAAGAGTTTTGTATTTTCAAATGCAGAGACACGTATCTGGAAGAAGAAGAAGAAGAAGACTGAGGAAGAAGAAGAAGAAGAAGAAGAAGAAGAAGAAGAAGAAGAAGAAGAAGAAGAAGAACTACAACGACAACAACAAAACGAAAAAGAAAAAGAATTCTATTGTTATTGAACAAGCCTAGGCCTCACAGATATCAATCTGATCAGAATGTTTAACAACTTACCTTTCAAGCTTATCAAGCGAGCTGTCATTCTCCTAAGGAAAGAGAAAAGTAAATAAACTGCAGGAAATAAAATTAAAATTATTGAAAACTGCTAGCGAGCCTCGTGCTCAAATCCTCCTAAATCATTACCATCCTTGGTCTAACCTGTTTGGTTATTACAACCTCTTATCTTAAAAGTACTTTTGTTATATGAGGGCTAAAGTTTCCAGGGGCGGGCTTCTCC